ATGATTATCAAAGAGAACACGATTGTAGAACACAATGAATCACATCGAACAGTAACTTTAATTTAATATCAAAATAAAGAATTTTCTTGACATAAAACAATGTTTTCAACTACTTGATAATTATTTCTACTACTAGGACAAGAATGAATTTGAAACACTTTAAAATATTCTCAGAGAAAATGATATGCACACTCTGTGATGTGTTTTAATTATTTCTACCAATCTCTGATCTTTTCACTGATTAACTATTTTTATTATTACTGCGGGCAAAACATTTTAAATTGTTTTGCCTTTTCCAATTGTATTTCTTCTTAGTCTACACTATGAAAAGATCAATGCGCCATGAGGTGCTCAGTTTAACTCAATTGTTAGTTACTACTGATTCGTATATACAATGAATGGCCAAGTGGAAACATAAGATTATTTATGATAAAATAAATACCATCTTTCTACTTCTCTTTTTAGTTAATAAAATCGAGCTGTTTGTTTTATGAAATTCTATATGTTTTGGTCGAAGTTTATGTTCTATTGATGCAAAAAGATTGAAAAGAATATTAAGAAAAAGCAGAAGTCATGTTACTAGTTGAATTTAAAGTGTTGTTCAATTATGTTTGATTTTGACGCAAGAAACAGAAAATCTATCAATGGATCATATGTTTGTCGACTATGCAATCTTATTTTACGACAACTTTGTTAATTTTCATGTGAACATCGTTAATGTAATATTTATTTTTCATCAAGGAATATAATCGAATTTACAGAATGTCTTGAACAAAACCAGTGGAATCAAATTATTTTATACTCAAAAACTAGTTTGTTTTCTTTTTAAAGATAACGCCTGATCGTACTTCCGAAGTAAAACGAAAAAAGACATGCTTAATAATATCTAATTTAATTACAATGTGAATAGATCTGATGAATTATTATTGTAGAAGCAACTTAAAGTTTCACATTATCATCCAATCGGTAAAATTTGTGGAGAAAAATTCAATTCAATTCAGTGATAGGACATGACCAGCACAGACAAAAATACCTTTACTTATAAAAATATTTATTAGTGAAATGAAACAAAATTTGTGTTATTTTTACAAATTTGTATTATTTCAATCAAAATAAAAATTTGTATTATTTAAATGAAAATAAAAATTTGTATTATTTAAATGAAAATAAATTTTGTGTTATTCAAATGTAAAATAAAATTTGAGTTATTTTGAAATTATTTATTGTTAACATAAAAATATTTATTGATAAAATAAAATAATTTATAAGTAAAGTGAAAAGAAAAAATTTGAGTTATTTAGATAATATTTATTTTAAAAATCAAAAAAAAATACAAGTTACAAAAAAATAAAACATGTTCCAGACTTATTAGATAAAGTACAGAAGATAATCAATAAACTTCCTTATCGTCAACATGAACTTGAAAAAGAATTTATTCGAATACATGATCAAATAAAAAATGATTTATTTGAAGTAATAAATAAGGCTGGTGAAGTATTAGATGCTGATTTAGCATTACCATATGATGATATAGAAGATGTTGATGAATCGGACAACGAAAAAGAGAATTATGAATTAGAATTATATTCAATCAATGATCAACGTTCATCAAAATTTGATTATTTAAAACAAAATACAACTTCTAATAATTCTTATGAGTTTCATACTTTGAAAAAACGTGTTGTAACTTGCTGGAATACAATTTTGATCATGCTTCGTTCATATGAATTCAATATACCTGGTATTGAAATTATATTACGTTGTTTAAAATTATTTGATTTGATTTTAACTCCCACTGAAAATGAAATTGTTCGTGATTTAGTTGATTTTCTTGGTTCATTTGAAACAACCACAACTATTCTTTCAGCATCCAAATCTTATTCAACAATGAGCTTATGTTTATTACTACGTATTGTAGGTAACAAATATTTGGATTGGAATAGTGCTGAACGAGAATTAGCTGAGAATTTTTGAGATCACACTATGAAAAAATATTGATAACAATCCTGTATTTTCTTTTATAAAATTAAAAAAATTATTTTAAAATATAACATTTATGAAGAAATTTAGCCAAGGGGGAAAAAGCGGATTGTAGATCGCAGGGATCCTCTGTATCCCCGATGGATTGTACGTATCCCGGATCCCACGATCCGCAAGTCCTATATAATGGAAACATGCTTGGGTCCTCAAGATTTATTTTATGACAATACCCTTGAGTCCTTAAGTCCTAAATTTTGATGATAGTTCTAGGCCTTCAAGACCTATATTATGATGATAGTCCTAGCTCTTCAAGCCCTATATTATCATAATAGCTCTACGTCCTCAAGCTCTATATTCTGATGATAGTCTTAGGTTCTTAAGCCTTATACTCTGATAATAGTCCCGAGTCCGCAAGCCCCATATTGGGATGATGGGTCTGGGTCTTCAAATTCTCGGTTTTTATGATAGATTTAAGTTCTCCACCCGTGCACGATGG